TTTAATGTATTTTTATAAATCAGTTTTATTTTAATAAAAATCTACTTAGAAAATTAATTATTATTAATGTTGACAATCAAAATACTGTAATGAATACTATCTTCTAATCAAATTTTCACAAAGGAATTGATTCTAAGTTCATCAAATAAGTAATAGCTAAGAAGAAAAAATATATGTATAGATATACAGGGTGGTCCATTTTAAAAGAGCCAGTCAAATATCTCGAAAAATATGGAAGATACAGAAAAACGTTTCAGACAAAAGTTGTTTGGTTCGAAGGGGGACATAAGATGGTGCCACCATATTTTTCGAGATATTTGACTGGCTCTTTTAAAATGGACCACCCTGTATATTGTGTGCGATTTTTCTGATATGTATATCCCATGTTGTTATAAACAAGAAATTTTGAAAAGTAACACCTAATTTTTCTTACGTTTCATTAAATTATTGAATAAATCACTGTAATACACATATAAATAATGGCAATATATTCACGACTTAAACATGGATTATACATTTACAATTCGGCGTTAAAAAACGCGACAAAAAATTTCTTTACAATACGCATATATCATAATCCTTCCAAATCGATATACATGAGCCTTGAGTAAACATATCGCGTAGTTGTAACTTTAGAGCATACTATATATAAATAAAAATTCTAGATATCATGTTCAAGGATTGTGATAAAACGCGCTGTGCGATGGAGTACGCGAAATCAAGCGCATATCGCAAAATCACATCCGTTTCTGCGCAAATATATGTATATCAAGAATAAACGAAAGCAATTATAACTATCGCTAAGTTAAATAAAAAATAATACCTCAACCCATGCACAACATATATAATTTGTGTAATTATTAGTATGATGGATTAGATTACGAAATATTTCTAAAGTATCTTAAAATAAAATTTCTTTTTCCAAATTTATTTTAAAAAGATTTATTAGAAGATTGATAGAAAACATGATATATATATATATATATATATATAAAGATGAGATAGAAGAGTACGATTTCTATTTACAGATAGTTCATGATAAGCACATTTACTTACTACTATATTTAAACCATCTTATATATATATATAACTAAAAAATTTGGTGTAATATTCGTGTAATATCTACTATTATAAAGTCAACATAATTTATATTTCTGCGTTAAATTTCACAAACTATAAAATTTGTCATTTCAAAAAATATCAGTCATTTTAAGAAAGATATGACGTTCCACATTTTTGCTATTTCAAGTGCAGTTAACACATGACAATAATTATCATTAGGAAACTAAAGAAAAGACCAGTACTACAAAATATTTTTACTTTTTTATGATAATAAATTAATAATATAGTTAATGATATACAACAAATTATATAAATATATAGCATAATCAAATCATGAGATATGCAAAAAATATACAAAGTAATATCTAAAACGAATTTTGCGGTTATTTTCATATGTAATAAAAAGAGCGGACTTTACCCATTCCCAACTGTCTCTATACCTTTCACATTATCTCGTATTATACGTATCTCTCGTATACAAGAGATTTTCGTAAATAGCATCTTTAAGAAACAGCAAATTACACTTGATTAGCCAAGAAGGATTGCGAAAGAAATAGAAGCGAAATGCGAGTTAATAGAATGGGATATAGAATCTTGGAGAATATAAAAACGAAATTAAACTCTGTGCAATACAATTCGGGATAATTCTCGGAATAGAGCGGAGTCCAATACGATGCTGAATGAAAATACAACGGAAACTCTTCGGAGTGAGCCATTCATAATTCGCGTTCTCTGAGATGGCGAACTTGGCATAATTATATGTCTGCAACGTTTTAACGACACCAAAAGTGGCGCACATAACAAAAAAAAAAATAAATAATGATTGAGTACATACATGAAATAAAATTTGATAATATTCCTTTGCTAATAACCCGCAAATATCACGTATAAAATCTGGAAGAGTCTATATATCTGAAATTAAAGAAAGCACGAGAATGTGTAATAAAAGTATTAAAAAATTCAAGATATACGGTGGAATTTCTAGCATTCTTGATAACGCGGTTGACATTTCGAAACGTAAAATATGAAAATAATACAATATATCTCAAAATATTTTAAATTATAGGCTGATAAAAAAATGTGAACCGCAATTATATAAAAACACACACATACAATATTTCTTATTGCAAATATATTTATATATATGACAATCTCTATATTTATGATGATTTTAAAAATAAATAAAAATTTGTGTATTTCACATAATATTGCGCTAAATATCTTTATTAATAATTTTATTTTTGTTTTTTCACCCCAATTTTATTGTTACGCGTATATAACAAAAATTTTTCAACAATTCTTTATAATTGTACAGTTCTATTAAAAATATGCAAATTACTGCTTGTTTTTTCAGTGACATCCAGCATCAATCTTCTATTTGTGGATAATCCACATACAATTGTCAATAATAAGATCACATTCTAGTAATGAAATGCGGATTTAAATGTAATTTAATCTTTTTTTCCAGCATACGATTTTTAAATTTTAATTTAATCACGTATATATATATATATATA